ATATATATTAAAAAATAAAATATCTGCAAAACGATGCATGTCCGAAAATTTTGCCAAAGGAAAAAGATGCTTATTTTTGAACAAGGACTACGGTAGTACACGAATTTGTACGTTATTTATATAAAGCATATCACGCGGGTCATTCGCGCGGCCGCGGTCTTAGCGGGGACAGTTTTATGTATATAGGCAGATTTAAGGAATACGATAGTACACTGGTTTGTACCCTACTTATATGGGACACCCTGTATACGTAATGTACACACATCTAAAGTGTACCGGGCCTCATTATAAACGCACAGAGGCCGTCCCTCCTTCCTTTCATTCGCTTATACGATGATAACGCTCGCTCGAGATCATTTTCTCTCTCTACGTCTTTCTCGGAGGCAAAAAGATGAGAGGAAGAAAAGGAAGAATGCATGTGACGTAAACTCGTACGGAGCGCTACGTGATCGTTGGCGTTTCGTGGACTCTGGAACTTTAGCGAGGCTACCGAATACAAAGAGAGAGTGAAAGAGATTTGAAAATGTCCCCTCGATACAGCTTCTACTTATGCCTTCGGTCCATCTGATGGATTAGGCCGTTTTAGTACGACAATGCATGCTATACGCGATGAATTTGAACACGCGCACTTGGGGTTCACGTAGGTATTCGAAATGTGAAGAATTGAAAGAAGTAGTCCAGCGTAACTGTATTGAGAGTGATGTTTTGAAAGCGACTTATCATATGTATTACGTGTCTATTTTAAACGATTGATAATACACTATTGAATGAATGACGTTGTCTTAAACAAGCCTTGTTCTCGAAAAGCTTATTCTCTGTATCTTCTATTAAGAACAAATATATATTGTCAAAAGAGATCGCTATCCCGCAGTTCGAGAAAGAATGAAGAAGCGAACTTCCAGCTTCCCTTCTTGGCTGCGTTCAAAAACATCACCCGTGTGCACATGAGCGTCGTTCTATCTTTGTTATTTACTAAAAGTTGAACAAAGATAAAACGACGCTTGTGTGCACGTGGGTGATTTTTCCGAACGCAACCCTTACAGTCTCTATTCGAGTAGTCTCGATCGTGTAAAATCGGTCTTGCAGGTCGTAGGTGTTTATTTCTAATGCGTTTTCTCGATTACTAAAAAGTATAATAACGTACGCGTTGAAACGTGTTGGTGGGCTTGGAGTTATTTCGAGTATAATAAGCCGCGTATGTGATCCTTCGCACGTTTTAGGCGACCCTATCTCCCGTGGAGAGCCTCTTACTCTGCGCTTCGTCTTTGTGACCGCTCGCTCGCGTTTCGCGTTTACCGGTAAATTAAAGGCGAAAATTGTGCAGACATGTACAAAAGGAGAAGTAAAACCCGACACGCTTCTCAGAAGCTCCGCTTTCATTTCCGTTAACGTATTCGCGATTCTAAAGTGCTAAAGTTAGTTACGCCTCGCGAATCGCGTTTTCCGGCATCAGCCCCGAGATTTAGAGAAACGTCTTGTACGTAATCGAAAATTATATGTAAAATTATATGTAATCGTGTAAATCACTAATAGTTACAACACTGACAGACAGCCGAAATATTTGCGCCCGAAGCGAAAAAGAAACGGTCGAAGAAATGTGATGAGCTCGGCAGAATACACGTGCGAAAACGTGTTTATGGGATCGGTTAGAGGTAGGTCTGACCGTTGTCAAGGCGGGATGGAGATCAACGTACGAGTCTTTGAATCGAACCGATCGTCATTGTAGTTAGCGACAATAAACGGGGTGTGGATAACAATTCGAGCGTGTAATAGCCTTCCCGTTAGAGCCAAGAGAGCAAAGAGAAAGAGAGAGAGAGAGAGAGAGAGAGAGAGAGAACTAAAGAAACGAAGAACTGCGCGATTTGGCGTGAATCTCGCTCATGCGAATCGTTAGCAAAGCCCTCCTCCCCTCACCCAGAGAGCTGCTCATTGTCATTCGTTACCGTGGCTCTTTTTGTGCGAGCGCTCGCACCCGTATCCGTTAAAACCGGCCCTCGGAATACGGAGTAGGTACGTTGTATCCGGGACGCGTACAAAAAAGATTTCCGTACGACCGAAACAAGCCCACATACGCAAAATAATTAATTCAAAAAGAGCTGTGACAAAGCCTGATTTTTGCTAGAATTAAACAGTATGTTAACGAGATATCTCGGATACAATTTTCCGAAAAAATAAGTTTTAATTTTTTATCTGGAATTCTCAGTCGAGATCGATTCATTTCAATTGGATTATTTTGCATTTTCTCTCTTTAGATATTTCGTGACTTAAGACGAAAGATAGTTTTACCTTAATATGGTACGTTTAATATCTAACAAGATCATTTTATTCATTATACATCTACATATGCAATATATATTTATACTTGAACAAGTTTATATTAACACCAATTTCAGATTTTATTTCTTGATCCTTCTAAGGGGTCAAATCTCTTAATAAGTTAGTTCTGTCCGGAATTACCGACTCGCTTACAGAGAGAAAACAAATTAAGCTATAATTAAAAGGAACGCATATAAATAACTTGATAAGCAGTAAGCGGGACAAACGGACTGATAATAATCCAATGAGCGCTTAATGAAAGTTAAGCGTCGGCGTATCGGATCGATTTAAAGGCGACCGTCTCCTCCGCGCTTGTCTCTCTTTTGATTACCGCAAATTACCGTTTTGTCTCTCGTGTTCATAAACTTGTCGCGTGGCCCGCCACGCGCGGTTAATGAAGTAAAAATAACGAAATGTGTGCGCGAGACGAGAGATCTCCCTCCACGCTCCTTCAATCGTGTCCGTAATTGCCTCCGCAATTGTTACCATCACGCGATCTAAGTCCGACTCGTTTTGTCGAATACGAACATCCCGTTTCGGGGTATTGCACTGAAAAAATCCGTCGATCGAGACCGAGAATGAAACCGCGAAGAACCGCGAAGAACCGCGAAGAACCGCGCGATATGTGTGTATAATGCCGTATATATAACAGCTGTTTCTCGTATCGCTCAAACTTTATCCATTTGCCACGAGCAATTGCTTATTTGCAAATCTGGTTACCATGTAAAAAATGCTTTTCTTCCGAGAAAACAAAGGATAATTTCATCTTGGTGCGATTAATATCCGACAAGATGATATTTTCATTGCAAATCATCAGAGTGTATATATATTTAATTATAAATCTATAATATACTTGATAACTTTTCATGTATTTGATAAATATCTGATTTTTTATTTAGAAGTATTTTAAAAGATATAATTTATTATCATCACAATAAGTATCGTTCATGATCCATTTATTAACTGTGTGTATAGTAAAACGTTATTAAATTATTTAATAACATACTTATTGCAAATTATTTGCTATAAATGTATAAATTTTAAAGAAAACTGAAATAAAATATATTAATAATTTTATGTAATGCTTATAACTTTACGAGAATTGTATAACATGAACCGCGGGATCGCGGACACATCTCGGATATTAATATGCATTAGTGTATGCTTTGAAACGAATGATGACCGTTCTGATCGAGAGACCAGATAACGTTCGTATCGTAACACAGATTAAGATACATTATCACTGTTCAAGGTGATGGAAATTTCAGGAATGCTTCTCGCATCTCAATAGGAATTCTTACCTGATTTCCTTTAGCATTCTGGTCGAAACCCCGCTCGCGGTGCAGTTAAATTGCTCGATGTATCTGTGCTGATTTTCAGGCAAGCTGCAGTCAATGTTGGGTACACATAGTTTCATAAAGTGCGGTCGTAGACGGCCTATGGAGTATTTCGCGATGTCTGTGGTTAAAGAGGTGCAGGCCGCGCCGAAAACAAATACACCAATCTGTAAGAAAATTTTATATATATTTTTATATATAATTAGACTCGCTTACAGAGAGAAAACAAATCAAGCTATAATTAAAAGGAACGCATATAAATAACTTGATAAGCAGTAAGCGGGACAAACGGACTGATAATAATCCAATGAGCGCTTAATGAAAGTTAAGCGTCGGCGTATCGGATCGATTTAAAGGCGACCGTCTCCTCCGCGCTTGTCTCTCTTTTGATTACCGCAAATTACCGTTTTGTCTCTCGTGTTCATAAACTTGTCGCGTGGCCCGCCACGCGCGGTTAATGAAGTAAAAATAACGAAATGTGTGCGCGAGACGAGAGATCTCCCTCCACGCTCCTTCAATCGTGTCCGTAATTGCCTCCGCAATTGTTACCATCACGCGATCTAAGTCCGACTCGTTTTGTCGAATACGAACATCCCGTTTCGGGGTATTGCACTGAAAAAATCCGTCGATCGAGACCGAGAATGAAACCGCGAAGAACCGCGAAGAACCGCGAAGAACCGCGCGATATGTGTGTATAATGCCGTATATATAACAGCTGTTTCTCGTATCGCTCAAACTTTATCCATTTGCCACGAGCAATTGCTTATTTGCAAATCTGGTTACCATGTAAAAAATGCTTTTCTTCCGAGAAAACAAAGGATAATTTCATCTTGGTGCGATTAATATCCGACAAGATGATATTTTCATTGCAAATCATCAGAGTGTATATATATTTAATTATAAATCTATAATATACTTGATAACTTTTCATGTATTTGATAAATATCTGATTTTTTATTTAGAAGTATTTTAAAAGATATAATTTATTATCATCACAATAAGTATCGTTCATGATCCATTTATTAACTGTGTGTATAGTAAAACGTTATTAAATTATTTAATAACATACTTATTGCAAATTATTTGCTATAAATGTATAAATTTTAAAGAAAACTGAAATAAAATATATTAATAATTTTATGTAATGCTTATAACTTTACGAGAATTGTATAACATGAACCGCGGGATCGCGGACACATCTCGGATATTAATATGCATTAGTGTATGCTTTGAAACGAATGATGACCGTTCTGATCGAGAGACCAGATAACGTTCGTATCGTAACACAGATTAAGATACATTATCACTGTTCAAGGTGATGGAAATTTCAGGAATGCTTCTCGCATCTCAATAGGAATTCTTACCTGATTTCCTTTAGCATTCTGGTCGAAACCCCGCTCGCGGTGCAGTTAAATTGCTCGATGTATCTGTGCTGATTTTCAGGCAAGCTGCAGTCAATGTTGGGTACACATAGTTTCATAAAGTGCGGTCGTAGACGGCCTATGGAGTATTTCGCGATGTCTGTGGTTAAAGAGGTGCAGGCCGCGCCGAAAACAAATACACCAATCTGTAAGAAAATTTTATATATATTTTTATATATAATTATAAAGAAATAAGAATTATAATAAAAAAAATGAATAAATCATTCGTTTATTCGTTTACTAAGTTTTTCAATTAATTTTTTAACATTTAATAACGGTATAAAATTTTATTTATGCTCAGATTAAATAAAATTTTTAACAAAAATAAGAATTATAATAAAAAAAAATGAATAAACTTTATATTCATTCGTTTACTAAGTTTTTCAATTAATTTTTTAACATTTAATAACGGTATAAAATTTTATTTATGCTCAGATTAAATAAAGACTCAAGATTTTTAACAAATTTTTATAAAACTCATCAATCAAATAAACCTTTTCATAACCGTTCCACAGCCATGGAGGTATTGTGTATCCGAAGAGCACCTTCGCCGTATGTCCGGAAAAGTGTCTCGCGTGCAGATACTCTCCTATCAACATCTAAAATTGAGAAAAAAATTAAATTTAAGATTCAAAACAGCATTTAAGATTTTTAACGATTAAATGCAATTTATGTAAATTCAGATTGTTTAAATGCATCGTTCGCAATATTAGAGAATTGCAACATTTTCATAGCAGATATAATTTATGATATTAAGAACAAAAAGATTTATTGCATTTCATAATCGTCACCCTTAATCTTTTTCAAGAAAAAAACTGACTCCAACTCTGTGAAAGAATCGCTGCCTGGATATCTGATATATTTGGGAACAGCACTTGTACGATACACCTGATACAATCTTTCACCTTCTGAGAATGCCTTCTTACAAGACGGACAGACCCTTGTAAAAGATCCTTGGCTAATCAAAAAGGCGCAGCAGCTCTCTTTCTCTCGAAAGAGAAGAAAGGAGAAGGAGAAAGAGAGAAAAAAATCCACAACTTCTTTTTTTTCTCTAAATTCTACCGACCTGTCATACTCTCGATCAAAGCGGGTTAACCAGGCCAGATCCCAGATAAAGGTCCGCCAGGTGATACGCACGGTATATCTAAAGTTCACGAGGCATGCGTGAATGAAATACGATGGCGAGTCGCGCGCGCGCGCGCGTGATCGTCCTTCTACCTGTTCCTACCTGGACCTTTCTCCCCCGATTCTCCCAGAAAACGTACCGTTGCACGCGGGCAATCCGTTTTTCCTCTGCGAGTGTGCGTAGATAATAAAGCCGGCTCTCTGCGAGGAGCACGCATAAGATCTCCGAGAGAAGCACGATGAAGGGGAGAACCCTTCTCGGATTGCCGCGCGTCCAGGCATTGGAATGCGCCTGTACCTGTAAAACGTATAAAACCACCGTGCCGTGGAACGTCACTGTAGGAGAGGTGTAAGGGATACCGATGAATAAAACCTCGACGTCTCGAAAAGAAGAATGGACGGTAAAAATAAACCGCCGTAAAAAGTATCTATTACTTGGTCGAAACATCGAAAATGACAGAAATGATCGATCGTTCCGTACGATTATTTAAATGCGGTCGCAGAAACTTTGATCAGAAGTGGCTTTATTTAATTTTAATATTAGCGATAATATAATATAATTAATTAATTACTTATTGTCATAGTTGAAAAACTCGATATTCTCGTATGCCGATTATAGAATGTCGTGTGTGTGTGTGATGTAATAATAGAAATGAACAAAATAAAGATATAAAATAAGATAAATGGACTAAAAAATAAAGAAACATAAAAATAATATAAAATAACGTAATAAAATCATATAAAAAAATAAGAAGTACTTATCAAGAAAAATATTTAATATATCTCTGATTCGAGAACATCGAAAAGAAATATTCAGTTCTTGTAGAAAAAAAAATGACAAATATCATTTATTTGTCTGATTGTTTCTATTGAAAAATATATATAGAGAGAAATAAGTAGGGTCAGGAAAGCTACTTATTATTTGGAGTGCTATAATTTATTTGTGAAACTTGGCCGCCTTCTCTCTCTCTCTCTCTCTCTCTCTCTTCCCCTATATCGGGCGCAAGGGATTAAATCGCACGGTCTGGAATTATCTACTTAACGCAGAAGCCGATCACCGGCGAATAGATAGCTTTATGCTACGGCGTTATCCAGCAGAATAGCCGATGCATAATAGCCGGTTTACTCTTCGGAAGAG